GCCTGTCATGTCCCGATTTGGCCTTCGTGTTAGCCCAGCGCATATTTTACGAACGATTTAGCGGAGGACGGGGAGGGGGCATATTTACCCCAATGTATAGCTGATAGTACGTCAACCTCGGTTCTGGCAACTAGAAATGAAGTATCAAAAACCCTGAACAAGCACCGTGTTTCACCCTGAATCAATTTTCTGGCAACGTTGGTGTTACTTCCAATCGCACAAGGACTGGAAGAGCCATTGCTGCCTAATTAGTCATGCTCAACCCCCAGGGATAGCACGCCCAGAGGTCCGATCCCACGACCTTGTCAGTTAAAAGCCGAACCTTCTAACCACTGCGCCACGGACTCGCTGCTTCCCTGGCTTCAATCGGCAATACACACCGTGGTGGACAAGTGCTGACTTATTGGGTACGGAACGTGCTCGTGTTGGAGCTCGCTCTCGAGACCCGCCAGCAGCCGCTTAACGGCTAGTGTATAGCATAGACAGAAATGCATTACCTACAAAGGTAATGGAGACTGAAATTTCCATTTTTGGCTCATGGCCGTCATCAGCCAGCCATACCGAACCCCAGGGGGTGGTGGCGACCCCCGAGATTTGAAAAGTGCGACCTTGTTAGTTAGAAGTCGAATGCTCTAAGCACTGCGTCAAGGGCTTGTTGCCTTGCCACTTTCGATCAGTGAGCTTTCATCTGCCAGAAGTAAAAAGAACTAAAACGGACGCTGAGAACGCACCTCGCCTGCGCAGTTCAGTGACTGTGACGTAGTTGGCGGAATGCGGAACTTTACTTGGCGGTTGCATCAGCTCTTCCGCACGATCCAGAGAAAGGGAGGAGAGTGAGCGCGCCACAGATTTGGGTCTTCCAGTCGGAGAGTTGTAACCGGATGCTGCTGCTGGTGGAAGAGGCAACGCAGACAGCTGAGGCCGTTGTGATGACGATAGTTCTGGTTGAGTCGTATTGACTAGCTGCAGATTTACAAAAAAAGGTTGTGTTGGCGTGTTGAAACAGTGTCGAGGCGCGAAACCAAACCGGAGTAAAGACAACCCTACACTACACTCTCTGACTCACTATGGATCCTTGCTGGATGAGAGTTTCGTCCAGAGGAGAGGTGGACAGGGCGAGAGGTAGAACGTTATCGTTTAAACGGAGGGGCGAGGCAAACTGGCGTTCGTCTCTTTCCGTTTCCACAATACATGA